AATTAGCTGATGAAGCTCATAAAAACTATACACCATAATCTATAGACGTGTTGAATAACTTATTTGAAAGTTTTTACTTAGAAAATTCTGCAGTTAATTTTTTACGCAAAAATATTTAAAAGGTTTATGTAAACGTTTGATAAGTGTTAAAAAACTACTTAAGCAAAAGACTAATCTTGTTTCAGAAACTTTGTACCTACCAAGACATTGTTTGTTCCAACACAAAACTTTCACTTCATAATCATAACACTTTTTATCCGTCTGTTCATTGTTATAGCAACGTAATCCATTTTGGGCATCACATTTGACATCATTCTGATTGGCTTCTTTCACAGACGTGATGGTACCTGCTACACGACACATTATATCATAAATATCTTCACAAATACCATACATAGACTGAAATAGAAATAAAATAGAGTTTTACATCTTACTATTCTGGCTTTTGCTTTGAAAGAAAACTCCTACGTTAGAAATTAACAGTAAAACAGAGTTTCACAAATACAGATATATGTTGGAGTTTTACATTTCTAATTGTCTTGCAACTTGTTATTTTCATAAATAAATTACATAAAAATTAGCTATCAAATAAAAGACAAAATTTTTGAAATATCCCAAGAAATATAGATTTTTCCCTGATTTTTTGTATTCATACCTTCAGTTTTTCAATAGTTTCCAGGTCACCGTAACCAGTTTTGGGAGAGTCAATATTATACCATGGAGACCACCTACACTTGAGGTTATCTTGGGTGATAAAAGATGTAGGTGATGTAATGGTGTGAGTTGTAACTGAAGAGAAGAAAATGAAATGAAATCAAGTTTTACATCTCACTTTTCTGATGTAGATTGGGCAAATGAAATCAAATAGAGTTGTACATCCTAATGCAATGATATTGCTGCATGATAATGATGATTAAAAAAAATCTGAATCAAAAGCGCACAGGATATCTAATTCTAATGGTACAAAAAACACAGTGAGAACATACCTGAACATTGGCAGTAGTATCGAACTTTATAATCATGACAAGGGATAGGGGGGATAATTGTATTATTACAAGCTGACCCATGGTCAAGGTCACATGTGTTCCCTTCTGCTGTACTTGTGTAATCTATTCCTGAAATTTCAAATTAAATTTGTCATATCTTTGGTAAAATTGAGGGGGGAACAAGAGATTTGAATGACACAAAATAAAACTAATATTATTGTATGAGGTATTATTGAGGTAAAGGTGGACTGAAAGACGATTTTTGATACCAAAAAGAAGTAGCCATAACACCAGGATATTTTCTAAAGATAGCTTGCGAGGTAACATATGCCCACTGGCAGCTGTCAGAAATGATAAAACAGTCTTTAGTGACTAAAGTACGAATTTTCTCATATTGAAGAAATTTTATTAGTTTGAATTCAATTACATATAAATATGCCAGTTATTTATGCTGAGTAATTCCACAAAATTTTTTAAAATCAATATCAATAACCCAAATACAACAAACAAATCACACAGCTCTAATCAAGGGCAAAAAACAACTTTTGACGCGTGTTTACAAAGTCAAGGGCAATAACTCAAAAAAAGTTCATCAAAAATATCTCAAGTTGTCTTGTCCTAGATCTTATCAATTCCAATGATCACACCAAGTTTCATCAGAATCGGTTGAAAACTGTAGCTTCTATTGTACTCACAAACAAATTTTGAAGCGTTTTTACAAAGTCAAGGTCAATAACTCAAAAACCGTTCATCGAAAATGCATCAAGTTAGAACTTGTCCGAGATCTTATCAATTCCAATGATCATGACAAGTTTGATCAAATTTGGTTGAAAACTGTAGCTTCTATAGTGCTCACAAACACACTTTGACACGTTTTTACCAAGTCAAGGGCAATAACTCAAAAACTGTTCAGCAAAAATGCGTCAAGTTAAAACTTGTCTGAGATCTTATCAATTCCAATGATCATGACAAGTTTGATCAAATTTGGTTGAAAACTGTAGCTTCTATAGTGCTCACAAACACATTTTGACGCGTTTTTACCAAGTCAAGGGCAGTTACTCAAAAACTGTTCAGCGAAAATGCGTCAAGTTAAAACTTGTCTGAGAACTTATCAATTTCATATTAATGTGGGCGTATAAAAATGTTCCTGAAAGTTAAGGAAGTGTAAACTTAGCATTGGAATACAGAGCCATCTAATTTTTTTGATTTTGAGTAGACGCCCAACGGATATTCGAGACTCTTAACCAAGGACCTGTTCTCACCTTCTACTGTTTCACACTGAATGTCAATCATAGTTCCACCAGGACACAGATGGGCTTTTTCCTGAGTGGTTAATCTTTCAAAATCTCCTTTGTCACTTCCTGACCCCGGTTTGTCACGATTGATCCAGCTCGTCCAGTGACTTTGTGTACATCTTGGAAGACTTTCAGTCGTTGTTGGAGTGGTGATTTCTGTATGACACAAACAAATGTTTTAAGTAATCCTCAAATCGGATGGCATTTATGAAATAAGCATGTCCTGACACCAATTTCACGAACAGAATTTCAGCAATTTATATTGGTCAATTAATTTCTCTTCAAGCAATCACAGTATTATGCAAGTCACTTACCTGTACATTTACAAGTGTATCTGATTTTAAAATCGTCACAAGGCATAGGATTATCAACATTATTACAGACAAATCCTGAATTCACATCACAAGTTGCTATAATCGGCAAATTGCTGTATACTTCTTCATCAGATGCTCGTAAACATTCAATACCAATAATTTGACCTCCGACCCCACACCAATTCTGGATCTCAGCAGACGTCAATAATTCTTTCTCTCCATCACCAGTTGATGGTTTGTCACGATTGATCCATTCTGAATTCTTGTTGCCGATACAGTGTGGTTGGATGGGTGTTGTAGATTGAGTAGGGGTGGTTGTGGTTGGTTCTGAAAAATCAATATTTATAGAATGTTATGATTTCAATCAATAGAGCTATACAGAAGAGCAAGGTCATGCAGATGAGTGTTCAATAAGGGAAATTTGTAAGACAGGCAAAACCTTTTTTTTGCCTGACAAATGCAGATGAATCTTCAACATTCATATCCTTCTGCAAACCAGTCTATTGTCCAATACAAAAAAAAGATGAGATGTTTTTTTCACGTCTGTCCCACTGATATGAAAAATCCAGATTAAACTTTCCTCCCCATCCAAATCTGGGATCAATCCCTGGATACAGGTTCATTCAACTTACCTGTACATTTACAAGTGTATCTGATTTTAAAATCGTCACAAGGCATAGGATTATCAACATTATTACAGACAAATCCTGAATTCACATCACAAGTTGCTATAATCGGCAAATTGCTGTATAATTCTTCATCAGATGCTCGTAAACATTCAATACCAATAATTTGACCTCTGACCCCACACCAATTCTGGAGCTCGGAAGATGTCAATAACTCTTTCTCTCCATCACCAGTTGATGGTTTGTCACGATTGATCCATTCCGAATATTTGTTGCCGATACATTGAGGAGTGGGGGTTGTAGTTGGTGGACATTTGTCACATGAGAATCGTACTTCGTAATCCAAACAATTGGTTCCACCTTGATCAGAATTGAGGCAGGTCAAAGACTGTGAACTGAGATCACACTGAACAATTTGACCACTTTCAAAGGGTGACTGTTTACCCACCACTGTACGACATTCGATTTTGTTCACATACATTGGATTACAGACATGAACATATTTAGAAATTTCTTGTAATGTTTCTGTTTCGCCTGAAAATATATAAGGGGAATAAATATACTATATATTTATATATACTATAAATAATATAAAGCATTGGCAATTGATATTTTTTCTCAAATTCTAGATGAAAAATGTACTGATCAAGAGCATGTTTTTGTTTTCTGGTAATGCTTTCCATTCATACGTCTGTCAGATAAGTGACACCTTTGTAAACAAATTTGGTGATCAAGATTTGAGCTTACAAAAGTTAGGATAGTAACATTAAATTTTGTTTTTCTGTTTACTAATTAATTTGCATCAAGACATTTGTCATAGAAATAAATTAATTACCTTTTGAATCTGGAGTGTGAACACTGACCCAAGGTGTATAGTAGCTACAAGTTTGCTCGGTCACCAAACTAGCTGGACTGGTGACTGTGTCAGTTACACCACTTCCAGTTGTATAGGAACCGGTATGGGTTGTGGATGTAACAATTGACAATATAGGCGTGGGTATAGGAAGTTGACAACCATAAACATCAAACCGTAAACCAATACCATTGTGCCATTCCATTGGAATAATTCTGACAAATCTTGCAGAAACTTTTTCAAAAGTGTTCAAGACAGGTTTCACTTGATCCAAGTTGCCTGTAAATGTTTTCGGATTGCCGTTGCTAAGGGTTACAGGTGTGAATTGATATCCCTCCGTGCTGTATTCCACATGATATTTCGTCACCCATTTACCATCTGTGCTACCTTGTGTTTTGACACCTGAGACATCATATTTGTATCCAAAATCGACCTGAATCCATTGTTTTTTATTATTGATGCTGAAAAATTCAAGACAAAATACTCCAATACTAAATTGGGAACATTTTGTATACAAGCGTTTAAGAGATAAAGCAATCTGAATGTTACCTTTTCAGAGCGCAAAGAGCTCAATTTCAGTTATACAGCACTGTCAGATGGAATATTCAGAAAAAAAATGTTATTTTTTATTTTTATTTGTAATTTTAATCAGGGATCACTCATGGAAATTTCAAACGAGAGAAATAAAACTTAAAGGTCTGTATCTGACCTGGTACCCTATGAAAAGATTTTAAAAAACATTTTGCACACCTGTGTCTTTACACAACCTTATACCAACTTTTTATCATTCAAATTGAAAGAATAAAAAAATTAATACCTAGGTTGCCATCCTCCAGAATTCGCGCCATTAACTTGTGTATAAAGACGACCACGTTGAGCAGAATGATAATGATCAAGAATAGATGAGGCTGAGATTTGGTAATCACCTACGATACCAGGATTATTCACTCCCATTGGTAGATCACAATCTATGAATAGTAACACAGATTTGGGATAAGGGTGCCTTTGTTACCTTTGACAACAAAAAACTAACATTGTGCTAAGCATCATGCTTGGTAGCTTTTAGCTTCCAAGTTGTATTTGGGGGCATGGCTCTTTTGGGTTTTGATGATGTGGACAAAATGATGATATCTAAGAATTATAAAGAGATTTTCGTTTTCCAGTACCTCACTGGGCTAAATAAGAAGGCCAATGTCACACAGCATCAAATGAAGGAAACTTTACAAGGATAGCAGTGTGAGCTCTTTTTTGATTTCAAATTGTTCAGGAATGTGCACAACCTGTTTCACATTGGGCAAAATAACAAAACATATTCCATGTAAGCTCTTCAATCTGCATCATTGGCAGAGGGAAACAAGAAAGATACCTCACTGACTGTGATGTATTATAACTTCAATGGAAAAAAAATCTGTGTGAGGTTTTGAAGCAAAAAGTTGCAAATCACCTTTAAAGTAATGTAGTGTGGGGGTTACCATTGGCGTTTCTCCAGAAATGTGTGGTGGTGTTATATAGTTGCCATGGGAATCTGTCTTCAGTGATGGCGTTTTTCCAGTACCAGCAGTTGGCGTTATTGGATTGCCACTTGAATCTGTTACTGGTGTTGGTGTTTTTCCAGAATTGGCTGTTGGTGTTATATAGTTGCCATGGGAATCTGTCTTTAGTGATGGTGTTTTTCCAGTACCAGCAGTTGGCGTTATTGGATTGCCACTTGAATCTGTTACTGGTGTTGGTGTTTTTCCAGAATTGGCTGTTGGTGTTATATAGTTGCCATGGGAATCTGTCTTTAGTGATGGTGTTTTTCCAGTACCAGCAGTTGGTGTTATTGGATTGCCACTTGAATCTGTTACTGGTGTTTTTCCAGAATTGGCTGTTGGTGTTATATAGTTGCCATGGGAATCTGTCTTCAGTGATGGCGTTTTTCCAGTACCAGCAATTGGTGTTATTGGATTGCCACTTGAATCTGTGATTGGGATAGGTGTAAGAGTTGATCCAAATGGTGGAATAATTACAGAAGGCTTATCTGGGTGGCAACCAATCAAATTAACCCGTAGGGCAAGACCAGACGATGTCCAGGATATAGGTACGATTCGAATATACTGAGCCACCCAGTTGCGGTTAAATAAGTGTTGTATGGGAGTGAAGCCATTTTGGTTCCCTTTGAATATTTTTGCACTTGAAATGCCTGGATAATCTACATATGGTTGGTAGCCCACATTGTCAAGACTTCCGAGGATCTTGTATTGTGTTACCCATTTGGTGTTCTCGTTGTTGCCCTGGGTTGAAACTCCAGATATCATTTTTGGTTTTCCAAAACTAATTTGAAGATATGGCGTCTTATCTTTAGGGCTAAAATTATTCAAGAAACAATTCAATGGAAATGTACATCCTATTTTCCTTCCTTGATATTATATATATATTTAAATTATATTGAAATAAGAGTTCTCTGTATCACTGTTATTTTTTGCATTCTACTATTCTATACCTTATGAAGGTACATCCTTATTGTACTAATGAAATGAAATTGAGTACTGTAATTGTGTTTTATGTCCAGTTGTTCTGGAGATAATGAGCTGAAATTGAATTTTACACCCTAGCAACCTAAAACTTTTTCGACTATTGAAAATGGAGTTGTCAAAGAAAAAACAAAGCTTTTGAACAAAAATACTTACCTTGAAGCCCAATATCCTCCAACTCCCATAATGGCATTGAGATGCAGTCGTCCCTGAGATGGTCCATGGTGTTGGTCAAGACTGGAAGAGGCAGTCATCTGATCAGGATGGACAATGTATTTTTCATCTACACCCATTGACACTCGGCAAACTGTGGAAGATAAACCAAGATTAAATATTATTGAGGTTATTAAGTATCATACAGAAACTATAACAGATCTACAACAATGGTATTATTAGCTTTGTAGATTCTCCAAAAGCTATGCAGCTTGGACTCACCGGTTTCAGTATGAGGAGTTGTACCAGTTGGTGGGATAGCAGTGGTTGAGGATCCAGTATAAGGCCCAGTTTTTTTAGGACTGGTTGTTGGACCTGTGTTTCCTGTAGTGTCTGGCATAACAGTTGTAATATCCAGTCTTTCTGTTGATGGGTTACAACCAAGGATATTAAAGCGCAGGGCTCCACCATTGTGGACTTCATGCGGAATCAATTTTACGTAACGAGACACGATATTTTTGTTGAACATGGTTGTGATTTTTTCATATCCGTTTTTATTTCCTCTAATGGTAGCAAGAGTATCAGCAGACTTCCCAGCAGTGTAGGCCTGATAATGGACGCCGTCTCGACTAAAATAAAGCTGGAATTTCGATACCCAGCTGTTTTCTTCTCCAGCCTGTACTACAACACCAGATAAAATCTTATTTTCTAAAAAGTTCACCTCGATCCATGGATTTGTATCCGTTTGCCTGCAAAATAATGTATCTATGTAATATATCAAAAAGTTATCAAACCCATGGTACAAAGAGCGGTATCAATCTTGCACAAAAAGTATTTTAATCTCTAAGGTGTTTTTACAAGCCAAATCATGAAATAAATGCCTATTTCCAACTAGCTACTAGCTAAGTTCTATTTTCCAGCAGCATACCAGGCTATGCTGTGTACAATAAGGGAAATATTTCAAGACAACAATCTTTTTTATATTCTATTTTGAGAAAGAGTTCTTTCTTACTTAGGCATCCATGATCTATAGTTTGGGAAATGAGGTGTAGGAATACGTGCTGAACTTGGCAAATAGTAAATATTTTTATTAGAGGAAGCAGTGAGTTGGCTTTCGGTGACGATTCTGTAGTTTTCAACACCCATTGATGTGTTACATATTCCCTCTGAAAAAAACAGTGACATGATATTATCCATGTGGACTCTCCCAAAGAGAGACGTTTAGTCATAATTAATAACTTGTAATAAACAAAAATACGAAATAAACGAAACTCTTTGACAGTAATGTTGAGACTACAAACTAAATATCAAATCAACACCTAAAATTATATGGACTCCCTGAAAGCAATTCTAAGTCATTTGCATGGAAAATGTACTACCAAAATCACAGCACATCAATGAGTTATGCAGGTTTGAACCTACCAGGTAAATGAAGAGTGGGTGTAGTCTTTGGCGGTTCTGTTGTGTAGCTGGGATTAACATAACATCCCAGAACATTGAACCTCAGTCCTTGACCGTTACTAGACCATTCCACTGGTACAATACGAACATATCGAGTCCAAACATTATTGGGTAATACATTCTGTTTCATTCCGCTTTCATCTGTATTTCCATCAAACATGCGTACTGTTCCATCCACCTTGTATCTGACGAATCTTATACCATCTGGGCTAGTCTCAATGTAGAACTTAGTGGCCCACCCTGAATTTTTACCACTGCCTTGAGTTATGATACCTGTGATTTTCTTGGATTCCATGAAATCTACTTGAATCCATTGGTAGCCTGATGCGGTACTACAAACAAAAAATCAAAAGCAATGGTGAAGAAAATTTATGATAAATGCATAAAATATAAGAGGATTACAGATATTTCAGGAAGATCATTACCAAGGACAAGCTGGTAGAAAAGATTCTTGAAAACAAGTTGTTTCTATCAGATAACTTTATAATAAAATAATTAGACCAACCTCGGAGCCCAGTAGCCATTGGAGTTGAACAGTCGCCCATAAAATGCCTGTGTTGAGCCATTCAGATGAGACGATGAGGAAATTTGTTTATTTTTTATCTCAATTGTATTATCAATACCCATTGGTAAATTACAAATCAGAGCTGAAATCAAATGAAATGAGTTTTAGACCTAATGACCAAAATCACTTTAGATGTATTCTCTACTGAACAAAAAAAAAATAGCTCTTTTTAAAGAAAAAACATTCACCAAAATCACCTCTTGACACCTACGGTATAAGATTCAGTCAGAAATACATCAAAATTTTACTTACGTGGTGTGACCTCATCAGTAACACCTGAACCAGTAGTGTAATTGACACTAGGGGTTGTTGACTGAGCATGCAGGAAACATCCCAACAATTCAAATCTCATCGCTATCTGACCTTGATAGGTCACAGGATAAATTCTTACATAACGGGCTGGAACTCGGTGATCAAATGTCTGTTTCACTTTCGTGTTGCTGTCTGTGTTGCCATGTAATATTGTCGGTGACAGATTGCCTTTGTCGGAATAAGGGTTAAAGTTCACACCATCAATACTGGTTTGGACAATGTATGATTTCACCCAGGCAGGATGATCTGGTCTACCTTGAGTTATGACACCTGTTATGTGCATCACATTAAGTAAATCTATCTGAAGCCATTGTTGATCATCGAAAAATCTTAAATAAAAAATAATCTTAATAAATATTTGACTAATGTTCATGTCCTGATGTTAACACAGCTTAAAATTCTAATCAGGTCAACCATCTTTCAAAATGGAGGTTAGTTTTCCAAATTAGCCCCACTACATATGAGAAAAATAACTATTACTGAATATAGATTTGCTTATATTCTAGGGTAGATGACTTATAATTGATGCTGGACCTTACCTTGGAATCCAGAAACCAGACCCGTCTAATCTAGCAAACTTGGGTTCAGTACGATAATTAAAAGATGTGGAGGCCGACAGCTGACTGTTCGCAATCCATTCTGGTTTAGATACTCCCATAGGCAGGTTACATCCTGAACAAATAACAATTAGAAGGTTTATGTCATCAAAATATTTACCTTACTATGTAGAAGAGCTAAAATACAGCTGCCTTCTGTTTAGGATAATGATGACAGACAATGCAATGCTCTTTGCCTTGAGGGAAAATTAGTTTGAACACTACATGATCAATGAACTAAACAGGCTAATATACTATGTGCAATGAGGGAAATTTGAGAAGCATCAATTATTCTTTAGAATTTGCAATTCAACAAAATGGTACCATGTAAGCTTAGATTGTCATCACATACAGGCTTCTGTAAATATTTTCAATGTAAAGACTCCTAAAACCCACATGTTTTTAAGAGGTAAGGCTATACAAAATAAATAGTCTGTTTTACAGGCCCAAAAATGTCTGATTGTTGCCTTAATATTAAATGTACATTAAATTTGTGGTAATAAATAATACATGCTTTTGCTTGCTCCAATTTATTCCAGTTGAAAATCTAAAAAAGCGCTTATAAATGACAAATAATAAATTCGCTCTCTCGCCAAGATTTTTGAAAAAAAGGCCTGTAAAACTGACTATTTATTTTGTATGGCCTACTGCAAATTTAAATTCCACAGCCTCAAAAATGAAATATTATTTACCAGTATTGTTGTATCGGGGTCTTGTCACTGGAAGAAAAGGGAAAAATACTTAAAATTGGTAACTAAAATGAATTTCATCAGGGAGAAAAAGTAATCACTTGTTTGTGGGCTTTGTTCTATATTTTGAATGTTGTAAGTGGATATATGGGGGGTTCATCTGAACATGAAACATGCAAAACTGTAATTTAAATGTGGTACAAGAAGAATTTTCTAAATTTCACTTACCGGTACCACAGTCACAATAAAACTGAATTGAATAATCAGAACATTTCCCTGACGACTGCTTAGCATCTATACATGTCAATCCTGACTTCCTGTCACAAGAGACTTTTTCTTCGGTCTTGGATGATATTACTCCATTCTTGCTCTTACAATTAGCAGACACTATATTTGCTGTATCGCAGAATTTATGATGGAGTCGAAGACGAGCAAATGATTCAATGTCGCCTCCGTCAGTGTCACCAGGTTTATCCACATTCATCCAATCAGTCCATCCAGTTTTGCAGGTCAAGGTAGGAGTGGTGGTGATTGGGCCAGTATATGGTGTGTGTGAACCAGTATATGGTGTTGTTGAACCCTTATATGATGTTGATGAGCCTGTATATGGAGTCGTTGAACCTGTATATGGAGTCGTTGAACCCCTATATGGTGTAGTAACAGTATTTTCACCTACAAACATTGACAATCAGGTAAATTAGAAACATAAAATGTGAAATGCTCCCAATGCTATGCTCCTATTTGTGATAATGAAGATGGGAAATGTCATGGAGCGTTCAATGACGATAACTTAACTTTGACAGCAGATTTTAATGTGCTCAGCCTGTAGAACATAGATACTCAGCTTACAGTCTCTTCCGAATAATTAGGTGCTTTTTCAACTCAGTCCCTCTGACCTACATCACTGACATGGGGAAGCCAGACATGATCCTCAAACCATTAAGTTACTGAGCAAACATCTTAGTCCCTGCATTGCCTAAGCTCCAGAGATACCACTAAATATAAAAAGTAAATAAGAGACTCTAAAAGCTCACAACCAAATAAGGTAAAGGGACTACTTACAGAGGCAGTAGAATCTGATGCGATAGTCTTTACACTTCTGGTGTTGCGTATTAATACAGGTTAATCCTTCAATTCTATCACAGATGACATCCTGCCCTGTAGTTTTGTAATCCATATCGTTATTGGCTAGTTTACAGTCAATGGATATTGGTGTCATACATGTCTTTGGGTAACCAGGAAGATTTGAAATAGTTTCCCGATCTCTATCAGATCCTGATGGATGATTGTTATTAATCCAAACACTCCATCCAGTGCTGCAATGTGGTTCTGTCACATTGAAAGTTACCTCAGGAATACTTGGGGTTTTTCCAGTCATTTTTGGCGGTATGTCTGTCTTATCTGTTGGTCCAGTTCCAGGAGTTTTCTGGTCACCTCCAGATGGTGAGACATAAGGTGTTTTACCACTAACACCTGATGGTGTAACGTAAGGTGTTTTGCCAGTTTGACCAGATGGGATGATATATGGTGTTTTGCCAGTTTGCCCAGATGGGATGATATATGGTGTTTTGCCAGTTTGCCCAGATGGGATGATATAAGGTGTTTTGCCAGTTTGCCCAGATGGGGTGACATAAGGAGATTTACCAGTTTGTAGAGAGGGTGTATGATCTAGACAGCCATCAATACAATACAATCTAACTTCATAATCATGACAGATTTCTCCTGCTTTCTGCATCACGTCCTCACAAATCAAACCACGATTCAAATCGCAAGTGACTGCCATTTGACCAGCTCTTTCATATGATAAACCATGTGGGAACTTCCAGTAGGGCTTGACACGACATTCGATTCGAACTGGATTCTTGCAGAATGAGTAGTATAACCGTAGACGACTGATGGTCTCATAATCTCCAATAGCTCCGTTTACACGAGGATACGAATTCATCCAATCTGTCCACATACAGGATGGAAGAAAAGGATAGGGCGTTCCAAGATTTGGAATTAGAGGACTGCCCGTGAGTGGTTTCAGGGTTGATCCTATAACATCAGTTATTGTGGGTGGCGAAGTCACATAAGCTGTAGCTGAAATAAATATTAACTTGTATAATCAGATGAAACAATAAAAATCAAAACAAAACAGATATCTGTTTGAAGAGTTCATCTCATGCTGCAACCATATGTTTCTGTAATATTAATCAACAATAGTATTCCAATAATTGGATTTCTAAGTTATAAGACTCACTTAAAAATATATTGTAGTAAGAAAAAGATAAGGTGGGGAATAGAAGGAGAGTCAGCCAGGATTGGTGAATGACTTTACTTGACTATACAAGGAAAAAATTTGTAAAAAAATACAAAAAATACTCACTTTTACCACAATCACAATGGAAACGAACTTCATAATCATCACATTGTTTGTCTCGTTGTTTATCTGAGAAACATTGTAGACCTGTCGCGATGTCACACTCTACTCCTTTATCTTGTGTATTTATATACAGATGCTTGGATGTGGAACTTCTACACTGGATGCTGTCTGGCTGCGAACAGAAACTGTAGAAATAACGTAGCCCATCAATTAATTCAAAATCTCCCTTATTATTGGACAATGGAGAGTCGATGTTCATCCATGTAGTCCAACCAGGGTAACAGGAAAATTCCATGGTTGTTCGCTCTGTTGTATGTGTAGAATTGGGTCTTTGATCTGTTGGTGTAGAAGTGGGTCCTTGTTTTCCTGGTGTAGAAGTGAGTCCTTGTTTTCCTGGTGTAGAAGTGGGTCCTTGTTTTCCTGGTGTTGTACTGATATCATTATCACCTGAAATGTCAATTAGCCTTAAGTTGTAAAATATGCATTAAATCAAGAATGGGTATAAAATGGTGGTCATTGCAGAATGGTGACAAAGAGATAAAATAAGATAAAAAATAAAAAATTGTCAAATTCACAGCTGGACATATTTGAGTTCGATCAGAGATGACTGGCATTTTCAATCGTGCGCTTTGGTGTACATGCCTATTCAAGTGGACAAAATGCACACAATTTTTAAAACACTGTAAACTTTTGAAGGAGGGTATAGTTCTAACTTACAATTGCAATAAAATCTTATTTCAAAATCTAAGCAGATTTCACCAGGTTTTTGATCCTTGTTGTAGCATTTTAGCCCCTCCTTCATATCACATGTGAGTTTTTGGCCAGACCTGTCATACAATGTGTCGCGACCAATGACACGACACGATACAGATTCAATCTGGGAATCTTTACAGAAACGATGAACTGTTCTCAAAGCAACAATTGTGTCAATGTCTCCGATGTTGGAAAATGATGGCGTCCCTACACTCATGTACGGAGTAAACCCAGTAGAGAGACATTGAGGTTCAAGGGTTACACCAACTGTAGTTGAAACATCTAGACCACCAGTTACTGTGGTTTGTGGTGATGGAGTTGAGCCAGTGTAGTTAGAAGAGAAGGTTAAGGTTGAGTGACCGTGAGGCAACGTTGTTGAGGATGTTACCATCTCTGGAGTGGTACAAAAGTCTATTCTTTTTATAGAACCTTTTTCACATGTACTGAAAATTAAATGAATTTGAGTTGTACATCCTGATTTTTTTCTTTGGATGAAATTCATATTAGGTATCTTTACCACTTATGGGTTTAATGAAATAAAACTGGTTCAAATGCTACTTTTCTGCTCCAGAGGGACTTATTCAAATGGAGTTTTATATCCTACTGTTTTCCCCTGATCGTTAGAGCAAATAAACTATTCAATGAGGGAAATTTCCCTAAGCCAGTGGTATCATCATGCTCTTTTTTGATTCAAGCTTTCTGTGGAAAATTATGGTAAACAAAATGTAACATTCAGTTTTAATTCAATTGAAAACAACTAGATAGCTTGCCAGGCAAGGTATTATACGCCCACTGGCAGCTTTGATTTTGAACATAAATATTTAGCAGTACAGTAACAATGACCAGTATGAAATATTCAACCTTCAGTCATACACTTCTTTTGAACTCTTTAGGGCGATACTGAATAATATTGAGTATGAGTTATTGCCCTTGTTCTTGAAAACGTGTTCAATTTTTAGCTCGTGAAAACTCTAGAAGGCAAATATTCAATCTTCAGCACGGGACTGAATAATAAAACCCAGTATTGTCAAAATCCAGCAAGAATCATGCCTTCTAGTGTTTTAGAGCTAAATTTGAAAGCGTTTTCAAGAACAAGGGCAATAACTCATACTAAATATTTTTCAATTCTTTAGATTTTCAATAGGGTTCATCCTTGGGTGATTACAAATACTCATGCCAAGTTTCGTTAAAATCCATCAAGAATTGTCGCTTCTAGAATGTTTACGAGCTAAAAATTGAACTCGTTTTTAAGAACAAGAGCAATAACTTATACTAAACATTTTTCGATTCTTCTGATTTTCAATAGGGTTCATCCTTCATACCAAGTTTTGTCAAAATCTGTCAAGAATTGTGTCTTGTAGAGTGTTTACGAGCAATTGCGGTCGGATCGACGGACATGGGTGACGGCAATATACGCCTCCCATTTCATGTAGTGATTCCAAAAAGAAAAACAGGCAGCAATAACCAATCACAAAAGACTTTTTGATGGGATCACCAATACCACTAGTAGTATAGTGATTCATTTGATGTATACTAAACTTGGTGTAATAAATAATAAAACTTGGTGGAAGGCAGTTAAGATTAGTAAAATCAGTAAAATATGTTAATCTTAACTGCCTTCCACCATTTGTAGTTTTTTTCTTCCCCTGTCAAAAGTCAAAAGTCAAAACTTTTTTGACGAAACATTGGGTACTAAAGGATGGTATTTGATGTCAATTTTTTTTATTTATTACCCCATTTCATGTGGGCGTATAAAAATAAATTTCAGGTATCGAACCCTTTAATGGTTGGTTAGCAAAATTGGAAGTATTGAATGTAGATCTTGTTATGATTATGGGGAAATCAAAGTTGTTTCATCATCACAATGTACATAAAACTGAAAGGGTCACATTATAAGGCAGCATCTTTTTACCACATAATATTTTCTTAAATGTACTCACCAGACTTCACAATCTGTTCTGCAGACAGAATGATCTTTAATTCTCTCCCCTTCTCTATAGCTCTGCTCATTGACAACACACGAGGTTCTATTACAGAAGATTTTTGGTACACACTGGATTGGCTCTATTAGACCTGAAAATTTCATTTAGATGTAGAGGAGTATGATTACCTAGTCAGAAACATGACTTTGGCATTTCCCTGCTCTTTTTACAATTTCCAACTAAGAAGGGATTTTTAGCATGAAATATTCACCCAGATGACACAGATGACTGAGATCAAGATCAGGATTTCCTTGATGTTCACAGATACCTCTTGGGGACTTCTTTGGTTACTACCAGATTCTAAAGATATTAAAAAATATTCTTACCATTATATACTTGGCCTGAAGCACATGGTTTCAAATCACAGCCTTCAAAACAAACATCCTTCTTACAATTCTCTGTCAGTTTATCATAATCAGGGTAATTATCGCAGGTTATTTTTGGACATGTTGAAATACATGGATTATATACCTCACAGTCAACACATTCCAGTACTGAAAAACATACAAATAGAGTTTTACATCCTTTGGTCCTGTGACCTGATATTTATGGGACAAAAATGCCTACCTACCTAATGTGCTATTGAAATGAAATTTGTCCTTTAGTTAATGTGCTAATGAAATGAAATATGTCAGTTCGCTAATGTGCTAATGAAATGAAATATGTCCTTAAGCTAATGTGCTAATGAAATGAAACATGTCATTTAGCTAATGAAATATGTCCTATACCTAATGTGCTAATGAAAAGAAATATGTCTGTTAGCTAATGTGCTAATGAAAAGAAATATGTCTGTTAGCTAATGTGCTAATGAAAAGAAATATGTCTGTTAGCTAATGTGCTAATGAAATGAAATATGTCTGTTAGCTAATGTGCTAATGAAATGAAATATGTACTATACCTAATGTGCTAATAAAAAGAAAGAAGAGTTTTTTTAAGAAAGGGTTTTTTTGAGTTACAAAACTATAATTACAAACTTTAAACTTACGACAGAAACCAGAACTTCTCCAATCTATTGGTGTTCCTTTCACAGCACATTCATGTGCGTATGCTGCAACCGTTGTGCATATTCCTTCACATTCCCCTTTAATATCACAGGCACATGCATCCAGCATACATTTATCATGGAATGTGTGATAATCCACCAAAGAATGACAGGGTTCAAACACTTTATTAGAAAGAATATCACATTTTTGCTTTGCCCATGCTTTTTGTCCAGCATTCTTCAAACATGTGTCAATATATTCAATTGGAGGTTGACAGTAATCATGAACTTTCCATTCGTTGCCAAAATCGGTGACCTTGATTAAAGGAGGCCCACCTTGACGACCTTTGAAGTCATCTCGTGTATTTCCGTTGAAATTTCCACATAATCCTTCCACCTGAAACAAAAGTTGTTGAAATGTCCCTGCATGTAATTCATTTTATATCATCCATAAATGAAACCATTTCTGCACCTTATTAGCCAAAGAGTTTCATGTCCTCATGAAAAACATTTACATCCAGTGTACTCCATCTGATTTATTAATCTAATTAAGCAATTGCCATACAATGTGCAATGAGAGGCAATTTTTTATTATACAACAGAGTCGACTTTTCTATGCATTTCCAACTGTCATGTGCCTGGCATAAATGCTAATCAAAATGTGTCGGTACAAAACAATAAGCCTACTAATTTTTATGTTGACAAAGCTTACTGTCTACCTACCTTTCCCTTGTGTTCAGCAGTTAATTGAACATATATTTGTGTACCTCTGTCCCACTGTAGAGTTACTCCCCCTGGTATGGTAACATAAACAAAATTACCAACACTCTTCACCTCAAACGGTGACCTTGAATCGACCTCAATGGGACGACCTCTGATTAGACTGAGGTGGTAAAAATTGGACGTTCCTGGAGTTCCCACATTAAACTGAATGGCCTTGGTACAGACTTCTCTGTTTGAACCACAAGGGACATTTTCAGTGATGATCTCAAAAGGATATCGATTTTCATCCAATGATTTGGCGAGAACATAATCACAGTTTCCAAGAAGGTCATAATGTTTGCCATCGAAAGTCGTGTAGTGGGAATCACCAAAACTGGAGCAGATGGCTGGACATTCTGTTTCATTACACATCCAATTTCTGTTGTGACATTTGCTGTAACAAAGCATACAACAATTTTTTCATTAATGAAAGTTGGTGAGCAAGCTCATTACTCAGACATTTATCTAATGCTACAATTCTGATAAATTTTTATGTCCTCCATCCTAATTTATTATAGGCTTGTAAATCCATGTCAAATATTGTGATCTGAGATTAATTACATAAGAGTTACTTCCCTTCCGTTATTGTGGTGAGACATACTTTAACAGCTTAACTGCTCTATTTCATGTCATATAGCCACAAGAATATTGAACACAGTGGCGGAGACCCTCACAGCCCCAAAGGCTAGTTTTTTGGGCAAGGCATTAAAAAAAATTTTTTTTTGAACAGCCTGATTTTTTTTTTTTTTCGGGAATTTAAAAATGAAATCATATCTGTGCCCGAATATCCTATACTATAACTGTATATTTTCAAAATTGATAGCCCGATTGTATTCTATAATAATATTTCATAATTTATATTATTTAGGGATCGAAATCACTGCCCGAATGTCATTCATATGATTATATTTTACATATTTCAAAAATTGAAATCGCAGCCCGAAATTACACTACCAAAAAAAGGCAATTCGGGCACAGATTTCAATTTTTTTTCAATAAATATTGTATGACATACAATATTTGTTAAAAAAAAAATGAAATCTGTGCCCGAATTGTCTTAAATTAAGATAGGCTGAAGACAAGCTCTCAAATTTATCTTTGATAAATATAGGAAGGAATTTTGCCAAAGATGATTTCGACAAAGTCATTCAGACATTTTCAATGATGAAAAACAAGGAGAAAAGCTATGTATGACTAAAGTTGATAACTATGATAATTGAAATTAAAAAAAAAAAAAATCGAAATAATAAAATCCATACAAACATAACATATCCATTAGCCGAAAATCTCACCCAACATTGAGTGAAAACATCCCGTAAATTAAACTGAATACTTGTGGATCTCCTAAGGGAGGTAGTATCATGTGTTCTAGAATGAGTGAAGATACTCTGCCAATAACTATAGTGTTTCTCTCGAAGAGTTTGCAAAACTAAGTTAGAAATTCGGGCAACCGCTCCGCCACTGATTGAACAAGATAGACAGCCAATACAAAATGACTTACCACTCATTACAGTCCATTCTAATTGCCTCCCCTTCATGATACGGTTTACCTCCATGATAGCACGGACATTGAGCACTGTGTACACACATATCTCCATCAACCACATATTCTGGAGCGCACACACACCCAGGTGAACACAATTCTTGTGTGCAGGTAGGAGGATCATGCATGTTAGCACAAGTGACTGGACAGTATGTGACACAATCTGTGTAGATCATATTGGCAGGACATAAGGTCAGGATTGGTTGGGAAGTGCCAATTGATATGTTCATGGTGTGTTCTATTGCTTGTTTACACACCCATCTGGCATCTTTACATTCACTGCAGAAAAAAAATCTTTAATTAAGGTGAAAAAAATAAAGCAGAAAGGTTGTTCATTTTTCAAATGAAAATTAAAAGAAAGATTGCAAATTGTGCATAAATGTGTGCATTTTAGCATAGATTTTCAGCATCTATTAATAATATTTTTGGTAGTTGCATAAAGCAATACAAGGTAATATTCTCTGGCTGGCTTGGGCAAATATACATAAGCAGAATAACATAAAATACGGCATCAAAGATCATGCACAGCGTAGGAAGAAGGACTGAAATCAAGTTCCATAGGTTCAATTTCCCTTTTACCAAAATAGCTGTCATTACCAACACAAATTTCAAAAACATCTTACCAAAAATCTTTTCCTTTCAGAGTAGTGAAACCAGCTGGGTATTCACGTCCATCAAAAGTACATGGACACTGACTGACCAATACACACTGTCCTGTAGCATCTAATGTGTGACCATGTGGACAAGTACATCCTTCTACACATGTTGGCTTACAGTTCAAGTTCTCTGCAATATTGCTGCATGTTCTGGTACATGGGTTTCCACATACAGTGTAGTTCTGACCAGCTGGACATTTGATAGCTGAAAATCACAAGTTAACTTTAATGAAATAGAGTTTTACATCCAACATCTCTTCCAACATTGCCTTCCTTTCCCCCATAAATTAACTGAATCTTTTGGAGTTTGCTGAACAGGTATGAGCAATCGACTACAGTTTGTATCAAAGCAATCATTTCACCTTCTAGGTTGGCTTACTGTTATCTTTCATTTTCTTAAATTTGAGATAAAATGATTTATCCCTTCCACAAAATGAAAATTAAAGATAGCTTGCCAGACAAGGTAATATACGCCCACTGGCAGCTTTGATTTTGAATAAAAATATTTAGCAGTACAGTAACAATGACCAGTATGAAATATTCAACCTTCAGTCTTACACTTCTTTTGAACTCTTTAGTGCGAAACTGAATAATATTGAGTATGAGTTACTGCCCTTGTTCTTCAAAACATGTTCAATTTTTGGCTCGTGAAAACTGTAGAAGGCAAATATTCAATCTTCAGTGCGAGACTGAATAATAAAACAAAGTTTAATCAAAATCCGGCAAGAATCATGCCTTTTAGTGTTTTAGAGCTAAATTTCAAGCGTTTTCAAGCACAAAGGCAATAACTCATACTAAATATTTTTCAATTTTTCTGATTTTCAATAGGGTTTATCCTTGGGTGATAAACACTCATGCAAAGTTTTCGTCAAAATCCGTCAAGAATTGTCCCTTCTAGAGTGTTTACAAGCTAAAATTTGAACACTTTTTCAAGAACAAGGGCAATAACTCATACTAAATATTTTTCCATTCTTCTGATTTTCAATAGGGTTTATCCTTGGGTGATTATGAACACTCACATCAAATTTCTTCAAAATCCTTCAAGAATTGTGCCTTCTAGAGTGTTTACGAGCTAAAAATTGAACGCGTTTTCAAAAACAAGGGCAATAACTCATGCTAAATATTTTTCGATTTTTCTAATTTTCAATAGGGTTTATCCTTGGGTGATTACGAACACTCATACCAAGTGTTGTCAAAATCCGTCAAGAATTTGTCTTGTAGAGTGTTTACAAGCAATTGTGGATGGACGGATGGACCGACGGACATGGGTGAAGGCAATATACGCCCCCCACTTCATGTGGGCGAATAAAAAGTACTTACCACAATCCAGAATTTTTTGTCTCCAATTCAGGAAGATTCCAGAAGCTGAGCAGGTGTCGGCATATTCTCCTAGATTTGGACACAGACATTCTGCAGCAGAACTCTGACAGGCACAGACATCATACATACAGTTCTCATAGAAAGACTTATATTCAATTTTACCATGACAAGCTGGAAAAAATGGAGGTAGAATGAGGTTTTCTAATCCTACTTTTACTTCCTGACTTAATTAATGAAGGTAGTCAACACCATACAGTACGCAAATAGGGATATTATGCCATGAAAGTAATATAAATCCAACTGTTGAAGTGATCTAAAAAATGCACAGCCTATAGCATACCATCTTCACAATATAACGAAACACAAGACAATATTAAGGAATATAAAGCTAAGATTCCATATACGCATCATGCGGATTCGTCATGCGGACATATACCATGTGGAGCCTTTTGAGTCTTTTATGAGTATATTTACCATCTATTCCTCCGATTCTGATGACCCTGGCAATGCTGCTCCAGCTATTATACATGAAATCCACATCATGGTATAATTGCGATCTATTATCGTAAAGATGAGGGGATTTTTTCACTAACTCTATGATTTTTTCAGAAGTTTGTATCGAGTACATTCATTTCCCCATCTTCGTTGTCAAAATATGGCGGGAAAAAAGACAGGGAATCCCCATAAAATACGTCACATTTGGGAGATCTCCGCGCGGAAAGGCGTCTGGATGCGTCAAAAATCGGTACACCCAGTGATTTTTTTTTTGACGCATGACAGAGACCTTTTGACTGATTTTTAACGATGACGGATGACGGATTCGCATGACGCGTATATAGAATCTTAGCCTAACACACTTCTTTAATAAGGTTAGGCACATAAACAAGTGTGTTATATTCCATAATATTGTCTTGTATTTTGTTATATGTGCTCCTCGCTTCTATATGTTGTTCAAATCTTACATCTTCACAATTTCAAGATTTTAATAACTCAGTCTTAGACCTTATCATTAAATAGGATTTCATTTGATTGGACTGTGTATGCTAGCATATACAGCCAGTCAGTGCTTTAAATCCAATCAAATCACTCAATTTACAAACTGTTGTGATGCAAGAAAAGTGCCTAATGATGTAATCAAGGTGTAACTTTGAAATACCTCGACATTGTGAAGATGGTAGAATACAGCCTTGGTTAAGTGAGGAGATTTGAACAGCTTGAAGCCAATTTGCATCACTGACAAGTAGAGACGTGTTGAAATTACTCACATTTAAAAACAGCTCCTTTAAGCAAACTACATTCCTTTTCAGCAGAAGCCTTTTTAACAGGATCCTTGTCACATGGGTGGCTCATATTAGGTGAAACATTTGCACAACTTATTTCAGTTTTCCATTGGTTTCCAAAGATATTGGGATTAGTTTCAACGTTTCCTTGAGGAGTTTTCAAATCATTGGTCTGCTTTCCATCAAAATATCCACATAAACCACCCACTTTATGCATAAAGCTAGGTGGAGCAGTGATATAGGCTCGAGTACGTCCATCCCAGAATATTGTTACTCCATTTCCTAACTCAGCCTGAAATGACATAAAACATAATTTATTTTGTCATTACATCCTAAATCCTCGATTTGCTAAAAAAATTCGATTTGATTTTGTTAATGTACATACTTTACGTGGATTTTATGCTCTTGAATATTGAAGAAAAATTTAAAGCAGGCAATTTGCAAACAAGTTCAGTCTGTAACGAGGTCTTTTGAAAGGCCCTTAGTTATTATGAGCAACTTTTGAAATAGTTATGTCATAAAATGAGCTTTAGTGTAATTGCAAGAACAGCAAATGTCAAACTAAAAATTGGAATGGTGTAAATCGCTACTGTCACAATCTCTATTACACCAAACAAATTAAGAAATATCTTAACAATCCTTGACAGTCTCAAACTTAGAAAACAAGTCAATATATTCTTCAGTTAGACTTACTTAATGCCATGAATAGAAAATAGAATCTCTATATCTATAAGACGAAATATCAATTAATCTAAATAATTACTGAAACACACTTCTAAGAATGGTTCAAAATAATTTATTTCAATGAATTATTACTTAGTTTAATGAATTATTACTTAGTTTTATAGATTTATTAGATTATAGAGGGATTGTGTTGTATACAGTATAGTTTTGATAGCAGGTAAGTCAACTGATGAACCAGGGTTCATACAGCACTTTGCCTCAAAAATTCAAAGACTTTTCAAGGACTCTGGGCTTTGAAATTCAAGGACTTTTCAAGGACTCTGGGCTTTGAAATTCAAGGACTTTTCAAGGATATTGTCTGACAGAATACAGGTTTTTCAAGGCTGTGCGAACCCTGTGAACAATGACTTATTTTGACCAAGTAAAGAAATTTCAAAAGGTAGTTTACCTTTAAAATTCTTGATTAAACACTATCAAGTCTCACCTGCATGAATAATGAAGAGACCATATAGATCTTAATACCAGGTGTAGTATATGGTAATTTGGTAATGGCTTTACCGTTGACGAATAATTGATGATTATGATCCATCTTGATATTATAGCCGTTGTAATCTAATGTGATGGACTTGGTACATGTCGCCTCTCCGTGACCACACTGGATGTTGTCCACAATCACGTCAAAATTATTGTCCTTCATCAAATAATAAGAACAGGTACCCATAAAATCAAACGCGGTTCCATCAAAAGTCAAATAATGGGGATCACCAGTAGCAGCACATCTTCTGTCACAATTTTTGCTGGTGCATGCCCATTTTCCCGAGCCACAAGTACTAAAATAAATCAATTTAATAGCAGCCGGTCATTACTTTTAAAATCAGATGTCCTCAAAACACCTGCTTAATTCTCCGATAAGAGCTCAATTTCACTTTATATCTATTAGTTGTTCCTAATGCTGGTCTTTTTTTAAAAAATCTAAATTTTGACTTAAAAAAACCCAAGATTTTTTTTGATGTCGTAGTTTTTCTGTTACCAGGTCAATGTATAGAAACAATACAAAGGACATAACATATAATAAACCCAGTTCACATGTTAAAATTAAAGCAGAATGCCCCTTTAATGTTCTAAATACGCTATAAATTGTATACAGTGGGGAAAATTTTGATTGGCTTTAACGGTTTCTTATCCATTTTTAGAAGTGTGAGCAGTGCCTACTTACCATGTGTTACATTCATGAGGAATCATCTCTCCCTGCTGATAATCTTTTCCATCGTGGGTACAAGGACATTGATCAGGCACAAAACACTGCCCGTTATGGAGAACGGTACCATCAGGACAGAAACAACCATCTACGCAAGTCTGATCTGCACAGGTTGCAGAAGGTGCTGAGCATTTTTTAGGACAAGATGATCCACACTCCTGGTATACCATTCTGTTGGGACAATTAACCTCTGAAAGTTTTTAAAAATATTCAATTTTTAATGCTATACATGAGTTATCTACCTTTTTTCTAAATGAGTTGTCTCCCCTAATATATGTGAGTTATCTCTTTTAGTCTAAATGAATTATCTTCCCTACACTACATAAGTTATCACCCCTTCCTTACCACAGCGTCCAGACTTTCTCCAGTTTAGCTTGATCATGTTTCTACCACAGTCTCTAGCGTAGGCTTCCATACTGTTACAGACACAATCTTGGTTATTGTTGGCTTGACAACAGTCTGATTGACATGCCTCAATATATGATCCCGGGTCAATTTTCTGAAAAAGAATTCAAATTGAACAAATCAAAATAGAGCCCACCAAATAAGACCTTTCAGTTCTATGATTATGAATTCTGTACATGGGATGCCAAATTAACTCACTGACATGGTGGTACAGACTGCAGTTTGATAGTTGTTAAAGAAGAATGGAAAAAAATCATCATTTCTGCATTTTCAGTTTACAGCCATCTTTAGTAATAGACCCTTTTTTTTAAATCAAAACAATGCAGCTTTCCGCTTACAGACAGAGCTTTTCAAAAACTTAAAATGTTATTCGCCAATTGACACTTGCTACTTACAGCATTACATGCAGCAAAGTCACCTCCTCTCATTTGGTTACAGGAAGTAGTGGCTTGTTGTTTGATGGCTAGATGAGCTGGTGTGTCCACCTGACATCCTGATGACTGAACTGAATCCAAACACGGTGCTACAACAGTCAAAAATTATCACTAGCACAAGATCTAAAATGACTACAGAAGGGATTCAAAGAGTTTTTTTTAAATAGTCTTTTACTTTTTACATTGGACTTTCATAAAAAGGGTTTTTTAGTCTGTTTATTTTATTGGGGAACAGTTAGGCTACAGCTTACAGCTGTAAATTATATAGAGACGGAGTAGGCACCTGTTTCCCCCTTTTAGTCAAAATTATGGATATTGCACACTGTTGGACCCTTCAGATTCAGGGGGTAAGGAGGCCATAGAAACCACAGAAAGAAAATGGAAATGGTGCAAGTAGTAACTAAAGTGTACTAGACACAAATGATGAATCTTTTCTGAATGACTACAATCAGCTCCTTATTCTTAATTCTGAGCTTTTTGATCAATACCTCAAACCCATTTCCAATTCTGCAACCCAGGTTCTTGGACTTCCTCCCTTAAACATACTTTCGGTCTCGGCGTCCAACATTTAAAATGACCCCTGGTCAGTACTTAATTGTACTTTCTTGTTGCTAGGAAAATTCTACTTCCTCTAAATGAGGTTGGAGGGTAAAGGTCGGTGAATGGAGTTCATACTTTAGAAGTGTGAAATCACACATTTGCTTAATTAGCAAATAACCCGTTCTTAGGTAACAGCTCATCAAAGATAAACCCTGTTCACGTATTATGTATAAAGGCTTAACCTCAAATCAATAAGTTTCAAAACTTTTGGGCTTCCCTTTTTTCCTTAAACCTTGGGCTTCAACAACTTTGGCTTCTACAACTATGCCTTCATTGACTATTTAAACTTTGGGCTTCTACAACTCTACAACTATGACTTCATTGACTATTTAAACTTTGGGCTTTGCAACTATGACTTCAATGGTATTCAATAAGTTTATTTCAATATCTTTTTCACTTGACCTTTTGAATTCCGGTTTGACCTGGAAGGTTTCACTTCATAATTATTATCTTGACAAGGGTTGTACTTCTGAAGACTGATAACGACACCGAAAACAGTTGAAAAGGGCACCAAAAAGCAGTCAGAAAAAAACCTCAAAAGCTAGACACAAATAGTGGGGGCTTAGGGCTTTTCCGGTGGAGACTTCATCTTAACGGTCGAGAATTGTTTAGTCTTCACAAATTTAGCAGAATATCCACATCAATTTAAGCTTCAACTCATCACCAAAACACTCGTGCATTCCTGATTATTATACTTCTAGAAATATGGGAGTCAAAAAGGTACTCCCCACCCCTTCTCTACAATGTAATCCTTTTTGATTTGGAAAATGGATACGTACCATCACTTTGGACTTTGTAGAAAGAGCCGAAATCAGCTATGGACTTTCCAACCCCGTTAACCATAAAATCATTCAAGGGATTTCCATCATAAAGTCCACAAAGACCGCAAGTCTTCTTCTTCATGGCCTTCTCCACTTGGACAAACACTGACTGCTTACCGTCCCACTTTAATTGAAAACCAAGCTTGCTGCGGACGGTCAGGAAGGCGCCGATCATTTCAAAGGACACGTCGTCTTTGAAGCTGGGGACATCGATTTGATCCGTTCCCCAGGTTACCTCTGGTGTTGGATTATTGTCATCCTTTCGGATTGAGATTTTGGAAGACCCAATGAGAACTTGGAGCTGTTTGTGGCATTTCGCTCCAGCTTGACAGTTTGCATCATTTACGACGTTGACGGAGAAAGAGTTAAAGGTACAGTCGCCAACCAATTTGTAAGTACATTTCCCATCGAAAGTGAAGACTTTGTTGTCGAAGGTTCGATAATGGTTTTGACTCCAAGTTACACAAGTAGCTGCTGCTTTAAACTGGGATAGAGCTGGAAAAGATTCATTTTCACTAGTTATTCCCGGTACACACGTTATGTGCCTATAAATTGGTTTGATGGTATTTCAGGCCAAAAAGTAAATCGTGTTTTCTGTAACATTAAATGGAGTTACGTTGGGACGATTTATGAAATATTTTAAGTATATTATTCATTAATATATGTGGTAAATGATAAACATATTAAGGTGTTCCTGGAAAGTATACCCTTGCAAATGCTGAAATAGACATTGATAGTTAAAATATCTATCAGATGCTGATTTGAGTTCTGGGTCTTGTGATCCACAAATATTTGATTAAGAAACTTACTTTGGGTAACAACAGGTAAGCCGACAGTTGGAACTGAAATGAAAACAGATATACCTCAAACACTGAGAGCAGACGCCAGGCAACGCTTGGCAGGATTAGCCGTACCATCAGAAGTTTGGTAAGCATGAAGTGGACTCTGTGCCATTAACCCGTGCTTCCAGATACACTATGACTTTACTATCGTATTGGCTGTGCATTTGTCAGAAACCCCCATGATTACGTCACTGTTGTAAAAAACATTCAAGAAAGTTAAGTCTTGTGGTATAGATGTTTATTAATTGAAGATTATCAACGAAGAAGAAAATATTCTGAACAACTTGAGACTTACTTGGCATACAGTCGGGGATTTCTTCCTTTGGTGGATCCCATCCTGTAGCTTGTTCACATTTGTACTGCACGGCGGGCAAACTCTTGAACGTAAAGCCATCGTTACATGACACTCGACAGGAAAATACACCATCCTCCAACGTCAAACAGTTGATAGTACCGAATTCAGGGGCTTTAGGCTTCACACATGTCGGATCATCTGTAATAAAATAGAGTATTAAATATTTTTACATTATTTTTCTATGAAATTTGTTCATGGGGACGGGCGTGGGTTTATTGTCCCCTGAAATACATCATTATTTTCAGATAATACGTTTAGACCTTTGTCTGCGACGACACAAAATATACCGGACAAAAACTCTGAACCTATCCAGTTCCCAAGACTTGATATACGGGTGTCTGATAAAGCAAATATTTTTTAGCTATACCTCGGCCTCCACTGGCTTTACACCTTCACTTGGGCAAAAATATTGTACACGAACTTTATGAAATTGCTATATCAAGTAAACAATAATTTGCTGTTTGAAGGGGATGCTGAGATGCATCAGGTGTCCTGGTGGAAGAGAAAAAAGTGACAACGAGAAACTTACAGTGCTGGCAATATGCCCCCTTCCATCCTTGTTTACATTCACAAAAATTGGGTCCTTTACACGTTCCACCATTCAAACATTTTTGAGCACACACGGCTAAAAAATAATTTTAAAGTGATGTCATTAATAAATCATTTAGCATTGACATAAAACTTGTTCAATCGAAACTGTCAACGTCCTTAATTTGCCTGTACTCATATCCATTTTCATCGGTGTCAATAGACGCTTAGTGTTCGCGATTCACATACCAAAGCTAGAAAACCTTCCCAATAGATCAAATCATACGAAACTAGACATATTAACCAGAATCAGATTATGTATCAACGACAAGTTGTTGGATGTTTACTGAAGATTACTTACGCAGACATTCTGGAAATTTCTTGCCGTCAAACCATTCTCCAGCAAACTGATCACATGTTCTGTCCACTGCCGCTTCTCGTGTTGTAAATTCAAAACCGCTGTTACACGTTGCCGTACACGTACTGTGAGGAAAAATGAAGGTTTTATTATAGGCCTATTAGTTTTTTTCAATAGTTTTTCGTAGCTCATGTAAAAACGCTTTGCAGTGCACAATGCACAATGCTCTTTTGTATGCGCAACATGACGTTTGATGGCAAAAAAGTCAGATCAAATGGTCCAGTTTTCTGTTCGTTGCATGGTTAAATTCGAGCAATATGCTTTGCAACAGTATTCAAACACACGTGAGAAAATTTTGCCTTTCCTACCAACCGATTTCGTTAGTGTTCAAAGCTTCTAAATTTTGATTAGTGATGGAGATTGGGGTATACTTACTATTCAAATCCAGAATTCTGACAATTGACTTTTCCGTTTTTAGGTCCAGGTATCGCGAAACATAGTGAGTTTTCTGTAAATAAAACAAAAATCATTCACGAAATAAGATTACAGATCTCGAAAACTGCCATTTTTATGTCGTGTACAAACTTTGCGCGATGGAAACGATACTGCAATCAGCTGTATCTTCTTCTGACGGAGTATGTTGGTAAATACTTTGAAATCTTCAAAATAAAGCTTCAAATGCAAAATTCTTAGAGAAAATTAATACATTGAAAAGGAAAATAGGCAAATCCTTAAAGATAAACTTACGAACAGAACCATCCGCCAGAATCTTCATTTGGGCCCTGAAAGAGAATTCGAATATCCAAAATCGAATTCAGAAAGTCTTT